ATCGAAAAAAGTGAGCGACGAATTTTCGAATTTCGTAATTTTTCAAGTGCTATCAGGTCAGAAATTACAGGTAGATTGTAAAAATGAAAACCCGAAGAAAATCGATGCAAAAATACGCCTTCTAGAGCCGATTTTCGACTATTTGCACATGTTGAACTGTGGCACTTCCGGTTTTGCAAAAATGTTCCAATATATATTTAAGGAACACGTTGCCACTACAGAAGGTCTAGAGAAGTTGAATGGTTGCTGCAACTACTGCAGTGTAGGCTCAGGAAGGTGTGTAAATTTCGAAAAAAAAAAAAAAAAAAAAAAAAAAAAAAAAGAATGGACATTTCGATAACAAACTGGGACTTTGCTGAAAGCAAAGTCCCACAATAATGGTAAAACTTAAAACATTAACATGATAATGGTAAAACTTAAAACAAGAGGTTTTCTTAATTTTCCATTTGTATCAAGGCTCCTGCAATTCCACTAAAACTAAGTGATTGATTACATCACCAATCACAAAATATGCCTTTTGCTATTAGTGATGTCATCTAACACTTAGTTTTAGAAAACCTCTTTCATTCAAGAAATCAAAATCTTCTTAAAGATTCAAATATAAAGAAATTACCTTTATTATTGAAGAGCATATCTTTAACAATCCTTCAGCTTTATATGCTTCAACTAAACTATCAGTGCTGATCTGTAGGAAAATATAGCATATCATTTGAACAATGGTCAAGACTAGTTTTTGACATAGAAAAAAAGATCTTGTCGATAATAAATCTTTAAGGTCTTCCTAAAAACTTGGTAGATTGGTAAATAACATACCTCTAGTTGATGAGTACTTGGTTTATAACCAAGTAAAGTGATAACTTGATGTAAAGTAGAAGTAACAGTATGAGTATTACAACTTGTGATATAAACAGTTAAAGCTTTCACAGTTGTTTCACGTATACTTAGTTGAGGATGACATATTAGCTGAAAGATTGTGGGTAATATCCTCTGCCCAATAGATTCAGGAATACACTGGAATAATAGAATACAAACACATTTTCAAAAAATTATTACCAAATTAACTCGTCTAAATCTGAACCTATATGGCCTTACACTAGGGTTGCAATTACTGATGAACCATGATTCCATTCACATATTCAATTGTGAAGTATCAACATTTTTAGATAAATTAGAATTTTGTAGAAAATTCAACATGACTTTTTCCATTCATGACATTATCATCAATACTTGTCATAATGTCATGAAATATTTTTCTTTGCTTTATACTTTTCTGTTATATTAATATTTACCTTAGAATCTGAGACATATTGATTTAATATCACAGTTATACCTGAAATTATACATTAGCATTGTTATATTAATCTA